CGCCTCGACTCTGCGCCTCGACTCTGCGCCTCGACTCTGCGCCTCGACTCTGCGCCTCGACTCTGCGCCTCGACTCTGCGCCTCGACTCTGCGCCTCGACTCTGCGCCTCGACTCTGCGCCTCGACTCTGCGCCTCGACTCTGCGCCTCGACTCTGCGCCTCGACTCTGCGCCTCGACTCTGCGCCTCGACTCTGCGCCTCGACTCTGCGCCTCGACTCTGCGCCTCGACTCTGCGCCTCGACTCTGCGCCTCGACTCTGCGCCTCGACTCTGCGCCTCGACTCTGCGCCTCGACTCTGCGCCTCGACTCTGCGCCTCGACTCTGCGCCTCGACTCTGCGCCTCGACTCTGCGCCTCGACTCTGCGCCTCGACTCTGCGCCTCGACTCTGCGCCTCGACTCTGCGCCTCGACTCTGCGCCTCGACTCTGCGCCTCGACTCTGCGCCTCGACTCTGCGCCTCGACTCTGCGCCTCGACTCTGCGCCTCGACTCTGCGCCTCGACTCTGCGCCTCGACTCTGCGCCTCGACTCTGCGCCTCGACTCTGCGCCTCGACTCTGCGCCTCGACTCTGCGCCTCGACTCTGCGCCTCGACTCTGCGCCTCGACTCTGCGCCTCGACTCTGCGCCTCGACTCTGCGCCTCGACTCTGCGCCTCGACTCTGCGCCTCGACTCTGCGCCTCGACTCTGCGCCTCGACTCTGCGCCTCGACTCTGCGCCTCGACTCTGCGCCTCGACTCTGCGCCTCGACTCTGCGCCTCGACTCTGCGCCTCGACTCTGCGCCTCGACTCTGCGCCTCGACTCTGCGCCTCGACTCTGCGCCTCGACTCTGCGCCTCGACTCTGCGCCTCGACTCTGCGCCTCGACTCTGCGCCTCGACTCTGCGCCTCGACTCTGCGCCTCGACTCTGCGCCTCGACTCTGCGCCTCGACTCTGCGCCTCGACTCTGCGCCTCGACTCTGCGCCTCGACTCTGCGCCTCGACTCTGCGCCTCGACTCTGCGCCTCGACTCTGCGCCTCGACTCTGCGCCTCGACTCTGCGCCTCGACTCTGCGCCTCGACTCTGCGCCTCGACTCTGCGCCTCGACTCTGCGCCTCGACTCTGCGCCTCGACTCTGCGCCTCGACTCTGCGCCTCGACTCTGCGCCTCGACTCTGCGCCTCGACTCTGCGCCTCGACCTCTGCGCCTCGACTCTGCGCCTCGACTCTGCGCCTCGACGCTGCGCCTCGACTCTGCGCCTCGACTCTGCGCCTCGACTCTGCTCCTCGACTCTGCGCCTCGACTCTGCGCCTCGACTCTGCGCCTCGATCTGCGCCTCGACTCTGCGCCTCGATCTGCGCCTCGACTCTGCGCCTCGACTCTGCGCCTCGACTCTGCGCCTCGACTCTGCGCCTCGACTCTGCGCTCGACTCTGCGCCTCGACTCTGCGCCTCGACTCTGCGCCTCTACTCTGCGCCTCGACTCTGCGCCTCGACTCCTGCGCCTCGACTCTGCGCCTCGACTCTGCGCCTCGACTCTGCCGGCCTCGACTCTGCGCCTCGACTCTGCGGCCTCGACTCTGCGCCTCGACTCTGCGCCTCCGACTCTGCGCCTCGACTCTGCGCCTCGACTCTGCGCCTCGACTCTGCGCCTCGACTCTGCGCCTCGACTCTGCGCCTCGACTCTGCGCCTCGACTCTGCGCCTCGACTCTGCGCCTCGACTCTGCGCCTCGACTCTGCGCCTCGACTCTGCGCCTCGACTCTGCGCCTCGACTCTGCGCCTCGACTCTGCGCCTCGACTCTGCGCCTCGACTCTGCGCCTCGACTCTGCGCCTCGACTCTGCGCCTCGACTCTGCGCCTCGACTCTGCGCCTCGACTCTGCGCCTCGACTCTGCGCCTCGACTCTGCGCCTCGACTCTGCGCCTCGACTCTGCGCCTCGACTCTGCGCCTCGACTCTGCGCCTCGACTCTGCGCCTCGACTCTGCGCCTCGACTCTGCGCCTCGACTCTGCGCCTCGACTCTGCGCCTCGACTCTGCGCCTCGACTCTGCGCCTCGACTCTGCGCCTCGACTCTGCGCCTCGACTCTGCGCCTCGACTCTGCGCCTCGACTCTGCGCCTCGACTCTGCGCCTCGACTCTGCGCCTCGACTCTGCGCCTCGACTCTGCGCCTCGACTCTGCGCCTCGACTCTGCGCCTCGACTCTGCGCCTCGACTCTGCGCCTCGACTCTGCGCCTCGACTCTGCGCCTCGACTCTGCGCCTCGACTCTGCGCCTCGACTCTGCGCCTCGACTCTGCGCCTCGACTCTGCGCCTCGACTCTGCGCCTCGACTCTGCGCCTCGACTCTGCGCCTCGACTCTGCGCCTCGACTCTGCGCCTCGACTCTGCGCCTCGACTCTGCGCCTCGACTCTGCGCCTCGACTCTGCGCCTCGACTCTGCGCCTCGACTCTGCGCCTCGACTCTGCGCCTCGACTCTGCGCCTCGACTCTGCGCCTCGACTCTGCGCCTCGACTCTGCGCCTCGACTCTGCGCCTCGACTCTGCGCCTCGACTCTGCGCCTCGACTCTGCGCCTCGACTCTGCGCCTCGACTCTGCGCCTCGACTCTGCGCCTCGACTCTGCGCCTCGACTCTGCGCCTCGACTCTGCGCCTCGACTCTGCGCCTCGACTCTGCGCCTCGACTCTGCGCCTCGACTCTGCGCCTCGACTCTGCGCCTCGACTCTGCGCCTCGACTCTGCGCCTCGACTCTGCGCCCGCCTCGACTCTGCGCCTGACGCCTCGACTCTGCGCCTCGACTCTGCCGCCTCGACTCTGCGCTCGACTCGCGCCTCGACTCTGCGCCTCGACTCTGCGCCGACTCTGCCTCGACTCTGCGCCTCGACCTGCGCCTCGACTCTGCCGCCTCGACTCTGCGCCTCGACTCTGCGCCTCGACTCTGCGCCTCGACTCTGCGCCTCGACTCTGCGCCTCGACTCTGCGCCTCGACTCTGCGCCTCGACTCTGCGCCTCGACTCTGCGCCTCGACTCTGCGCCTCGACTCTGCGCCTCGACTCTGCGCCTCGACTCTGAGTCCCTCGATTGCGCCTCGACTCTGCGCCTCGACTCTGCGCCTCGACTCTGCGCCTCGACTCTGCGCCTCGACTCTGCGCCTCGACTCTGCGCCTCGACTCTGCGCCTCGACTCTGCGCCTCGACTCTGCGCCTCGACTCTGCGCCTCGACGCTGCGCCTCGAATCTGCGCCTCGAATCTGCGCCTCGACTCCTGCGCCTCGACTCTGCGCCTCGACTCTGCCCTCGACTCTGCGCCTCGACTTCTGCGCCTCGACTCCTGCGCCTCGACTCTGCGCCTCGACTCTGCGCCTCGACTCTGCGCCTCGACTCTGCGCCTCGACTCTGCGCCTCGACTCTGCGCCTCGACTCTGCGCCTCGACTCTGCGCCTCGACTCTGCGCCTCGACTCTGCGCCTCGACTCTGCGCCTCGACTCTGCGCCTCGACTCTGCGCCTCGACTCTGCGCCTCGACTCTGCGCCTCGACTCTGCGCCTCGACTCTGCGCCTCGACTCTGCGCCTCGACTCTGCGCCTCGACTCTGCCTCGACTCTGCGCCTCGACTCTGCGCCGACTGCGCCTCGACTCTGCGCCTCGACTCTGCGCCTCGACTCTGCGCCCAATTCACCACAAGAGAAAAACACCCTAGGCTACCCAAGCCTCAGTCTCTGCTGGGGAGGCAATTTCCCCACAACTCCTCAGGCTTCCTATATAGCCAAGGTCAAATGACCCACAGCTGGCACATTTCACTTAACAAGGGTGGAGCCAAGAGACCACCCTTCTCTCCGTGAAGAACCTCTTGGTGAACTCCAGCCTATACCTTCCCTGTCTCTTTTTAACACCATTCCCGTGGGTCCTATCACTGGTGATTACGGAGAATAGGTCAGCACCTGCCTCTGCACTCCCCCACACGAGGAATTTGTACTCTGCAATGAGGTCCCTCCTCAGCCTCCCCTTCCCCACGCTGAAGAGGCACAGTGATCTCAGCCGCTCCTCATACGGCTTCCTCTCTAGGCCCTTCACCATCTTCGTCGCCCTCCTCTTGACATTCTCAAGCTGTTTAATTTCCTTCTTGTACTGTGGTGCCCAGAACTTCATGCAGTACTCAAAGTGAGGCCGCACCAGCACAGAGTAGAGTGGGACAATCACTTCCCTTGATCGACCAGCAATGCCGTGCTTGATGCACCCCAGGATGTGGTTGGCCTTCCTGGCTGCCAGGGCACACTGCTGGCTCATGTTCAACTTGCTGTCAACCACCGCCCCCGGATCCCTCTCTGCGGGGCTGCTCTCCAGCATCTCGTCACCCAGTCGGTACGTATAGCCAGGGTTGCCCCGTCCCAGGTGCAGGACCCGGCCCTTGCTCTTGTTAATCTTCATGCGGTTGGTGATCACCCAGCTCTCCGATCTGCACAGATCTCTCTGTGAGGCCTTTCCACCCTCATCTGAGTCTACAACTCCTCCAAGTTTGGTGCCATCAGCAAATTTGCTCAAAACACCTTCTAGTCCTACATCTAAATCGTCTATAAAAACATTGAAGAGGACCGGCCCTAAAATGGAGCCTTGAGGGACCCCTACTAGTGACCATGCGCCAGCCTGATGTGGCCCCATTTACCACAAGTCCTTGAGCCCTGCCTGTCAGCCAATTGCTCACCCACCGTACGATGTGTTTGTTGAGTTGTATGCTGGATATTTTGTCCAGTAGGATCCCACGGGAAACCATGTCAAAAACTTTGCTCAAGTCCAAAAAGATCACGTCAGCTGGTTTCCCTTGATCAACTAAAAATCAACAAAAATCTGGGGACCAGGACTGGGCAAGTGGGGCGCAAGTGTGCTGGGGAGCAAGCTCTCTGGGCTGATTACCAGGGCTTTAAACTAGGTTTGATGGGGGAAGGGAGGGGAGCTAAAGGGGACAGAGAAGGGCTGGGGGAAGTCCTCACTACTGTTATAAATGGCTCAATCTTCAAAATAGGATTATAATCAAAGTTTACAATTTATTAAAGGAATAGAGGTAATCAAACAGTGCTGGGTGCGCTGGGAGTCTCTGCTCCACCAAGACACACACCAGTTATATCAAGCAGCTGATTTTTATGTTCCTAGGCTATCACATATTCATTACTGCTTCTAAAAGAAAAAAAACAACAGGGTTATTATAATTAGTTTCCAGAATCCAAACCCTCCTACTGGAGCATGCGCATCAGTCTCCGGTGGTCCCTCTAGGGGTCTCTCATGCTTAAGGCTCATAGTCTTCCTCCCTCTGGTCCTTCTCCTTTGTCTAACTTGGCTGTATGTCAGAGACTTGCACAGCGTCCCCTGCAAGCTTTGTCTGTTAGTCGTTCTTCAGCTTTCCCTGTCTCCTTAGTCTCCTGGCCAGATACAAGAGACTTGCATAGTGTCCCATGCAATAGTCATAATAGTTAGCAGCTATTCTGAACCCCCTCTCCCCCCCCAGCTATCAGAGACTTCAAGTAAAAGCCTACAAATACATTTCCCTTCAAGCTCTCTATTGACACGAATTGCTAAAACATTCCTTTGCAAGGTACAAGAACTCTATACATTAACCACTCTGTTTTCCTTAGACTTGTGGTTATACAAGGGTCTGTAGGACAGAAGGTCACATTCATCATACCATGCAGCCCTAGCATTGTTCCGTATTGACACGAATCAGATGAACACGTTTCACACTACTGTCACTGTTGAAGACAGGGAAAAACTTCTGAGGTCTCACATAGGATTGTCTGAGGGCTCCTCAGAGAAGGTAGCGTTCCCAATCCCCCATCCAGTATCTTCTTCTTGCAGCCCCCCAGGGTAACTGTACCTGCTGCTTCCCTAAAGTGCCTGTACACCAGTGCACTGAGCATAGGAAATAAACAGTTAAGACCTTATTTAATACAACTCATGAACCGACAGAGGGAGCTCCGAGCAAAAGGTTTGGTAGCACAACGCCCTCCCTTAGACATAGCAATTCGTAAAATACAAGCTGGGGACAAGGTTCTAATTAAGACTGGGAATGAGACTTCTTTAACACCATGATGGGAAGGTCCCTATGTTGTTTTGCTTACCACAGAAACAGCTATTCGAACTGTGGAGAAAGGATGGACGCATGCCAGCCGCGTGGAAGGACCGATCCATGAAGAAAAGTGGGAAGCAGCCCCGGGTTCTGATGACTTGAAGCTGACACTGAAACAGACTCAATACGTATTGTGTATTATTGGTGTATCGTGGGAGGGGAGAAAGCCCTGTTTAATCAAAAGCTGTGTGCAGACAATTTAACAGCCATCTAGCAAATTCCCCCGAAGAACACTCCTGCTGCCGAGAAGAATTCATACCTTGTAGCTTCGTTGCAACCAAACTGACAAGCGAGGCAGAGAAGTGAAATGGTGGGGAACTGAGTGAGGCTGAACAAGGTCCATTAAAACACCCCAGGAAAAATGGGCTTCGGCCACCTCCTATGATAAATAAGAGTCAATATAATTCTGGTGAGTTATGGATCTGCGCATCCACACCAGCCCTTTAAGTGGAGCTTAATCCAGTGGGAGGCCCAGACCATCATGCAACAAATAACCACAGCAGGTGCTCCCAGTTTCCACGCCCCGTTATGCACTCTGACACAGGCGATGCCATGTCAGAACCACTTGGGATTCTATTTTTGCCCTGCTTCCAACCCAGGACAGGGGTATTGCAACTATCCCAACTCCTATTATTGTGCTTATTGGGGCTGTGAAACAATTGCTTCGGATTGGAGCCTGGGAGCTGGGAAAGACTGGTTCATAACAGTAGGATATGGACCACACATCTGCAAACATTTTGGCAGTAATGGACATAGCATGCAGCTCGGATTCAGGCATAGTCCAGGATATTCTGGGAATTGTAGCTTTTTGTATATAAATATAACAAACCCATACGATTCTGGCTGGGTTCTGGGAAAAACATGGGGTGTAAGACATTATGAAGATGGAACTGATAGAGGAGGACTAATATCAATAAAAAGGGAGGATGCTGATAAACCCCAGGTAGTGGGGCCAAACAAGGTGTTGTCAGAGAATGATCAGAAAATCCAGCCCACAAAGAATATAATAGCATCAATTCATGATAGTTCTGCAGGCTCAGAGAGAGCTGATAGGACAGAAACTGATACCATACTTAAGAACAACAACATATGGGGGGTCATGGTGAAAGAAGTCCTCAAGCTCCCCAACCCAAATCAAATTTTTAACCCCAAAGCACTTACCTGCCAGCTTCTGAATTTGACTCACTGACGAACAACTTCACAGGGAAGTAGCACCACCAGGGTTTTCCTGTTCTGAGTAGTCACCGCCATTGTTACTAGCTCATGGAGTCTCCAAAACTATTTCACAGAGATGGTAGAAAACACAAAGAAAAAGCAGTCTATCTTGGAACACTGAGTCCATTTCACCAGGACAGTAGAAAATAGAAAAGCACCCTAAGTAACCTGAGCCTCAAACTCCTCTGGAGTGGCAATTCTTCCCATAACTCCTCATGCTTCCTATATAGCAAAGGTCAAATGATCCCCACCTGGCAGATTTGACTTCACATGTGTGGGGAGTCATGAGACCTTGTGGAATAGGCTCATCAACCTCGTTTCATTGTTTAAGATTCAATTGCTCCTTATTGCTAACAGAAATAACCTGACAAGGGGCTTAGTGGTTAGAGTTGACCTAATGAATTAAATACAAAAGGCACGTAAGGCTCATATTTCTGCTAGTCATTCTGTGAGGAAAATTAGTACAGAGCCTGTTAAAATAAGATAAATCAACATAAAGAGAAGAAATAAATAAAGAAAAGAAAAGAAAATGACCTAAAAGGCAAAATTGCTGTAAGGAATGTTTTAACTACTCATGAAGTGTCAATAAGAGAGCTATTTGTGTTTGTATGTTCTTTCTTTGAAGTCTCTGATGTCTGGGGGTTTCAGAACAACTGCTAACAACTAGTGACTGTTATGGCTTCTGAATGGGACACTATGCAAGCCCCTGATATCTGACCAGGTGGCCAGGAGTTTAAGGAGAAGAAAGAAAGAAGCTGAAGGACGGCTAGGAGACAAAACTTGCAGGGGATGCTGTGTAAGCTTTTGACATGCTGCCAAGGAGTACAAAGGGGAAGGACAAGAAAAAAAAAAAAAACATGAGAGGAAGACTACGAGCCTTCAGCATGAAAGACCCCCCCCTTCTTTGTTTTTTTTTTGTTTTGTTTTGTTTTTAGAAGTAGTAATGAATATGTATTAGCCTAGGAGCATAAAAATCAGCTACTTGATGTAACTGGTATGCATCTGGGTAGAGCGGAGACTCCCGATGCATCCAGCGTTGTTTGCTTACCTCTATTCTTTTAATGAATTATAACCTTTGATTATAATCCTATTTGGGACTGAGCAATTTATAACAATTTGGGGGCTCGTCCGGGATGGTTTTTGGTTCCTGGATTTTAATCTAGGAGAGGCACCCCACCGTATGGTGGCTCCTGTCCGGAACCAATACCATCTTGAACCTGAATAAAGGTAAGCAAAGAATTTGATTATTTTTTTTTTTTTTGAGCTCCCTTTCTGACTGCAGCATTGTTGATTTTTCACCCGTAATTCTGCGCACGAAGATTCGGACGAAGACGATGGAGTCATAAGTGTTTAAGGCGTATACCATTCGGTTGGGTGGGGTTCGGTTGCCTGTGTATGTGTGTGTGAGAGTGTAACTGAGACTTCCAAAGTCAGTGTGGAGGTCTTCTTGTTTTCTCATTGGGGTTCCAATCTCCTGTGGGGGACTTGGCCAGTGAAGGGAGTGATTCCTATAGGATTTGTGGATGGGTGATAGGTCCTAAACCCCCTGCAAGACACTCTTACTAAGGTAACCAAGGGCTGTGGGGAATTGCCATAAGTAAAATTCCTAGATGGGTCAGACAAAATTGAAGACCAAGGACCAGAAGGAAGGGAGCGAAATACCAGACATACCACCAGAAAGTCCATTAGGAATAATGATTGGAAATTGGAACAATAGGGGCCCCAGAAAAAGGAAAAATTAAATTAAAAAGGGTTCAGTATTGTATGATAGAATGGCCAAAGAAGCCTTTAAGACCACGTGTTTTCTGGCCTGCTTTTGGATCTTTTGAAGACTGGATTTGCCAGGCTTTAAATATATATGTTAATTCAAAAAAAACTTTTTTCCAGGAAGAAAGTGATCATGCAGAATTATGGATTAGGACTTCACGTCCAGCCTCAATATTTACACTAAAAACAAATGAGAATTCTGGAGAAGAGGAAAAACAGGAGAAAAAAATGATGAATGGGAGCCATTGGATAATTTACCACCTCCATGTCCTAATAATACACTCCCAGCAGCTCCCTTTCCGGTAATATCTCCAGCAGTGCCACCGTTGTCCCTGCCTCCACCACTAACAGCACCGGAATTAGATTTGCCTCCAGCTGCATGTACAAGAAGTAGGACTGCCATATCCAAAGAAGCTTCTCAATATCCATTAAGAGAAGTACCCCTCAGAGGCAATCAGGGAGGCATTGAGTTCGTGGTAGTCCCCTAAAATACCACAGATGTAAGGAATTTTAGAAAAGAAATGGGGATCCTATTAAATGACCCCCCTCGGAGTAGCTGAAAAACTGGACCAATTCCTAGGTCCATACTTATACCTGGGAAGAAATAGTCCATTTTAAGAATCTTATTTACTGCTGAGGAAAGGGGAATGATCAGGCAAGCCGGAATGAGAATTTGGGAAAGACAAAAAAATCAAGCAGGACCCCCAGGAGACCAAAAATGGCCAAATGTGGATCCCCACTGGGATCACCAACAACCCCAGGGAAGACAAAACATGAGAGATTTGAGAACAATGATCATACAAGGAATAAGAGAAACGGTTCCACGAGGACAAAACTTTAAAGTTAAATTTTTTTAAAGGTAAATTTAAAGTATTTAATGAACAACAAGAAAAAGATGAATCTCCAACAGAATGGTTGGAGAGATTATAGAAAAGCCTACAAATGTATTCGGGGATTGATCCAAATACAGCAATTGGAACCGCACTCCTTAGAACACAATTCATAGCTAAATCCTGGGGGTACATAAGAAGGAAATTAGAAAAGCTAGAAAATTGGCAAGAGAGAGGATTAGAAGAATTTCTTAGAGAAGCACAGAAAGTATATGTTAGAAGAGATGAGGAAAAACAAAAAGCAAAAGCCAAGATCTTTGTAGCAGCAGAAAGTCAGAGAAAGACCTTGTCCGGGGAGAGGAGAAAAAATATAGAAGAAACCTCTAGGGGTCAGCCTTGTCAAGGGAATTCAACGATTTCCTGTTACTATTGCAACAGGAAGGGACATGTTCAGAGGAACTGTCGTAAGCGGGAACGAGATGAGAAAATGTTCAAAGAAGAATAGGGGTGTCAGGGGCTATATCTTCTGGGGACTTCAACATCAACAGAGCCCTTGATAAAATTATTAATTGGTCCCCGTAAAGAGAAAGCTCTATTTTTGGTAGACACAGGAGCTGAAAAATCCACTATTCAAAAGCTCCCAAAAGGAATAGAAGAAGGGAAGAGTTACACGTCTGTAATAGGGGCAAAAGGAGAGCCCTTTAAGGTACCTGTTTTGAAAGATGTAGAAATGGAAACAGATAAAAAAATCTGTCTTAATGATTTACTTTTGCTCCCTGAAGCAGAGTACAATTTACTAGGAAGGGATTTGATTTTAAAATTAAACTTAAGCAAAGTCAAGAGGATAAATTACAGATTAAATTATACACTTTAACACAAAAAGATGAAGAAGTCATTAACCCTTCAGTGTGGTATAAGGAAGGGGAAATTGGAAAAATGAAAATGGACCCCATAAATGTTCAAATAATGGATCCACATTGTCCAATTAGAGTTAAACAATACCCTATACCAGTGGAGGGTTGAAGGGGATTAAAACCCATAGTTGATAGACTTCCGGAAAAAGGAACTCTAGAACCATGTATGTCACCTCATAATACACCCATCCTCCCTGTAAAGAAATTGGATGGGTCATACAGAATGGTACAGGATCTGAGAGCTGTAAATCAGCGAACAATCACTAAATGCCCTGTGGTAGCAAATCCTTACACTTTGCTAAGTCATGTCTCTCCCAAATATACTTCGTATAGCGTAATAGATCTGAAAGATGCCTGTTGAGCCTGTCCTCTGGATGAAAAATCCAGAGATTATTTTGCTTTCGTGTGGGAGGACCCAGAAACGGGATAAAAACAACAATTAAGGTGGACTGTGCTACTACAAGGGTTTACAGAGTCACCAAATCTATTTGGACAAACTTTGGAAAAAGTTTTACAAGATTTTACATTACCCGGGGAGGTACAATTATTGCAATATGTGGATGATCTATTAATAGCAGGAGAGACTGAAGAGGGAACCTGAGAAGCTACTATTAATTTGTTAAATTTCTTGGGAGAAAAGGGATTAAAGGTGTCTCGATCGAAATTACAATTTGTGGAACAGGAAGTAAAATACTTAGGACATTGGTTAAGTAGGGGAAAAAAGAAGCTAGATCCTGACAGGGTATCTGGGATCCTATCCTTAAGACCCCCACAAACGAAAAAGGAAATCCGGCAAATATTGGGATTATTAGGATATTGTAGACCATGGCTTGAAAGCTACAGTGAAAAAGTTAAATTCTTATATGAGAAATTAATTAATAATCAACTTAAGTAGTCTATAGAAAATTATCAAAAATTTGAAAAAATAAAAAAAGCATTAATACAAGCACCTGTATTGAGCCTTCCAGATCTGGAAAAACCTTTTTATCTCTTTGTAGACACATCAAACCAGACAGCATATGGAGTTCTTACTCAGGACTGGGCAGGAATTAAGAAACCCATGGGGTATTGTCCTAAATTACTTGATCCAGTAAGTAGAGGGTGGCCTGCTTGTCTCCAAGCTTTGGTCACTACAGCATTGTTAATAGAAGAAGTTAGAAAGATTACTTTTAATGCTCTCTTAAAAGTGTATACTCCACACAATGTCAGAAGTGTCTTACAACAGAAAGCGGAGAAATGGTTAACAGACAGCCGGATCCTAAAGTATGAAGCTATACTAATTGACTCCCCTGACTTAGAACTAAGAGTAACTTCTGCTCAGAGCCCAGCACAATTTTTGTTCAGAAAACCATCAGAGGAATTACAACATAACTGTTTAGAGGTAATTGAGACCCAGACTAAAGTAAGACCCAATTTAAGAGATACTGAATTAGAGAAGGGAGAAGCACTATTCATAGATGGCTCCTCCCAAGTAGTAGAGGGAAAAAGAAAATCAGGATATGCCATAATTAATAAACACCTGGAACCTGTGGAATCAGGACCCTTGAGTCCATCATGGTCAGCTCAGGCTTGTGAGCTGTATGCCCTATACAGGGCTCTGGAACTATTAAAGGGGAAAGTGGAACTATATATACTGATTCTAAATATGCATATGGGGTGGTTCATACCTTTGGGAAAATTTGGGAGGAAAGAGGTTTAATTAA